CCATTCAGAACAAATGACAAAACTGTCGAGTCCGAGTGAGTCCATTTGACATCGACTAGTGCTTGACAATGTCGAAAAATATATCGATATTTGACGAAATAACTAAACAAATTGTGTTATTTGTACAGTACAATAACAAAAAATACTTTTATCACAGTATCCTACAATCTGATGACAATAAATTTATAAAAATATTTTCTAAATCAAATAAAAATATAAATGCAAAAATTATAATTAGTATGTGTACTTAATTTTTTATTTTATTTTATACCACATTTATATACTTTGGAATATTATTCCATTGTAATAATAATAAAGATCATTTTATTTCAACACAAAAAAAATCACAAAATCAAACAATAATGTTTTAGCACTAAACTTCTGGGTTGGCGATTTGTAATAAAACACTTTACCACTTGCACTAATTATTTTACTTTCACGATCCAACACTCACTTTTTCACAATTTGCAATCACTTTTTCTTTTTCCTAATTTCACAAATGTTTATTAATAACTGAGCAATATAGGACAGTGTCACATTTTTATAACTACCCGAGACAATCAATTGCCAATTAAAATAGTTCAATAACAGAATCATCAAAATCACTTTATTTAATTAAATTAGCTTAATATTTTTTTAATCTTTACAAAATAATATTTATTATATATTAATGGAATATACACCCGATATTCATTTATTAATTAACATTATTATAAGCCAACAGAATGTTGCCATCAATGCCATCGTATTTATATAAATCAAATTAAAAAAATATTATTATTTGACACATTATTATAGCCTCTTTAATTCATTTATTTTAATTTATTATAATAAATACAGATATTTTAAATTAAAAGATGTAAAATATGATGACTATGCTAACCAATGTCTAAAATGTCATTCATTGGTTCATCGATATATGTATTTTATCGATTACGTTCAAACACTAGAAATATTGTATTGTGTATCAGTGTTTATAATAATGTAATAAAATCTTTGTGTGCGTTATGCGTCACTTGGTTGAACTAGTTTTCATACATTTGTATTTTATGTCAGGTCCAGTCTCTAATTCGTCCATGATTTTCGAAGTCGGTGTGCTTTGCTTTGTATCGGCTGGCATTATATTGAAAAAAAAAAAAATTCCCATACTAAGCGTCAAAACGTACCTAGGGATGAACCTGAGCGAAGCGAGGGTGAGTCGCTAGTACTCGTATAATACTAAAGTAGTATCTAAGCAATGGGTTTTCGGTTTAAGAGAAAAATATTAAATTGCATACACGAAATAGGTATACTCACTTCAAAATCAGCGTAAAGATAGATTGTTCCACAGTGCCGACTTCTTTTTAATTAATAATTTTATTCTGGAACCATAACAAGCCACTTATAAAAAATATATGGCTTATTATGCGTTAAAGATGTTCATTGGAGTTAATTGATAATTTTTCAGACATAGTCTTCGCATGATGTAATTCATTGTTAATAATGAACCTCGAGTGTTCCACTTCGATGTGCAGTTGACCCCAATCGCCCCCAATCGAAGGACTAAATTGTTTGTTTGATCAGAGATAATATGGTCAAAAATACAATAGGTACCCAAAATATATGAGTTATACCTATATTTGGTATGTATAAAATCATATTTCGACTACAGCAGAACTATCTTAATAAAATATTATACATATCTCTTCATATATTTTTCAACTGAGTAATTTGGGAGTACCTTTGAAAGATGAGTTTGGTGTAACTTTATAACACTAATTCCTCTACTACGAGCCAATCAAAAAGTGTCTACTAAGTTACTTTATAAACAACTACGTACTTAGCTACTAAGTACTACAAGTTACAACTTCCTTCTATGACATGTTAAGACATATTGCTCCCGATTATTATTAATTGATAGCAGTCGTTAGGACATGTGAAAAGCCTTGAGTCGGCCTTATAAATTATTTACTAAAGTCGCCGCCCTACGAAAACCTAGCCATGTACCGCTGACGCTGAAAAGAATAAGCTATATTTTTGAAGAAAATCGGGTAAAAAGAACAAATAAATAAAGAACGAATATAAAATATATATTTACCACTCAAAAAATTAGCCTTAAGATACTAGTTTTTAATCCTCTTACTATTTAATATCTTTGGAGGTCTGACCTCCCTTCGGTGTACTCTCTATCTCTCTCAAGAACTTTTGTGCTAAACATGATTAAAACCACTGAAGATTTAAAACCCAACAATTTAGGCAGCGCATTGTTCGTTAGTGAGTCAGTGCGTGAATTTAAATTTTTTATTAAGAATATGAGTGGTGTGTAAGTGGTACTCTTTTAAATACCTATAGGAATAAGTAGGTGGTAGGTGCACATGTAAGCTTTTTAGTTTATAGTTTTACTAGCATTGCCCGCGGCTCCGCCCGCGTTCAAATGACTTAAAACCAAATTCTTAGGTTTTACATATTAGTATACTCTTACAATGCAGTTTTTGTATTTTTTCTCAGAAATGACATATTTTCCCGCGGTAAAAAGTATCCTATATGTTGACCCGGATAATTAGCTATAATCATACCAAATTTCATCAAAATCTGTCCAGTGGTTTTCTCGTGATGCGATAACAGACATACAGACATACAGACAGACAGACAGACAGACAGATATAAATTCTAAAAACTATAGATTCGGACTCTGTATCGATAATAATGTCTATTTCAATTAGATTTTACAAAAAATATTTAACGTACAGATTCGATTTAGTTACAATTTTATTATATGTAAGTATAGATTATTCATCTATGGTTTAAAATAAAGTTTATTAATCTCATTCATAACACTTTCTTCGCAAATATTTGACATTTTAAATATGTATAACTATTTTATGTAATTATTTTGACTTTTATTTAAAAAATATTCATAAATACTTTCTTTATTTAGATATTTTATAGTTTTAATTTTAAATAATTATTTTATCCTGTCTTATTTCACCTGTTGTTCGTAGACTACCCTTAAAGACGGTCTCAGAAAACCAGGTTTGAAGTCTGTGGGTCGCGGCATCTCTTTTATGATTGTAATTGGTAGGGTCTATGTGTAATGTACCTATCAATATGTAGGTTTTTATTTCTATTGTTTATATTTATTATTATTATTTATGAGCCACTTTAATGACAGACTTTAAATAGGAATTAGGTACTTAATTAAAATTTAATTTTGTGCGGAATTTGCATACTTTCTCCAATTGTAAATCTACTTTCGTAATTTTCTTGTTAATGAATACGTGAGTTATTGTATGGGATACGTGTCTGTCTATGGCATCGTAGCGCCCAAACGTATAAACTGATATTAATTTAGTTTTTTTTTGTTTGAAAGGCACCTTGATAGAAAGTGTATTAAGCTATAAATAAAGAACATCAGCTCTTTGCTAGACAATAAAAGGAAGGAACAACTTCCACAGAGTTAAACTTGGTACCTATCCCGTTATTTCAATGACATTGCAATGATATGGTAACTAACCTAGGCCTGATGCTGCAACGTCACCTGGTCCTGGAATATGTAAGATTCTCAACTTTTTACTAAAATACTGCAGAGATATCGTGTTTAGGTTCATTGAAGTGGCCTCAATGAAAAGGTTATTGTGGTGATTTATTTTATATATTTTTTATTTAAGATATATTCATTCTTTTAAGAAGTTAATAAAGTATTTCATTCCTCCTTTCAATGCCTATATAAATTAATTATAGATATGATGTCTTCAAATACATATTAGAATAGATCGTGCGAGAATATTATCTATGATTGTCGTTGCGGTGCCTCACTTGTTACTGCTAATTGACACGACCCGGCCTGGTGACACCGATTCATGCTTACAACTTGCCACCTCTTAGCATCCCTCTTTAGATCAATGTGACAATCATCTAGCTAATTAAAGAAAGATATTACGCAATACGTACGAACTTATTGCGGACAAATATTTAAACAAAGTACCTACTGCTTCATGTCACAATCCCCATGTTAATATTATACATGCCAAAGTTCGTGGTATACGATACTATACACTTACAATCAGTGCCGGATTCAACCTTAGTGCCGCCCCTGGGCAATGTAAGTAATTCCGTGCCATTATCGAAATTTTGCATAAAATGAATAGTTTTCATAAAATTATTTTTTTTAAATTTTTGATAAATGCAAAAAATAGTCTTTTTTTAATTATGCATTTTTTGGAAAACAAAAAAAACATTTTCGATAACGCGAAGATTTATTTTTAATTTATTCTTCAAATTTTACCGCCTCTGAAAATTTGCCGGCATGGGCACTAGCCCGAGTCCAAGTGCCCCTAGTGTAAATCCAGCGATGTATACGCTTGCTACTTTTTCACGCTGTAGAGGTGCAAGGGATTGAAGCGAAAATTCAGAATGGAGATAGCATAATATATCAAGATCAACACACTATTTATCATCGATGTACGGTGTACCACGCGAGCAACCCCGCGGGTCAAATCTAGTCATCGGATTTAAATGTAAATTTGTATGTGTATATACATTATGTTTGTAACTCCTTCAAAGCAGATGTATTTGAACGTTTAGTACACAGACAGGTAAGACAAAACAAGTTGTCGAAGGAATATAGTTTAAAGAATAATTATCAATATTATATGGAGAAATGTATGTATTTAATATGTAGGTACCTAAATATTTTTTTCCAGCAGCTTTTTTTAAAATCATACTGAACTCTGAAGTAATCAAAGTCATGCTTGCACATGTATCTATCGATGGTAATTTTTTACACATAAGAAAAGTATAATACATAAATAACATTATGTTTAAATTGTTTGTTAAGGACATTTCGCGAGAGTAATGGCGATGCATTTGGCACAAGACTCAAGTAGCTGTGCGCCTCTAAGTCGCCGTAAGTAGTTTAATATAGTCAATGATAACAAAAAAACATTTATAGCTTTTTATTAAGTTGATTTATTTATGATTACATTAATACCTATAGCTATGTATTTTAATATTATAAATTATTTCGAACTTAAATAATGCAGGAAAGGCTTATCCGTATTATTGTAAACTTCCTTTAAAATGTCTAAAACTAAGGTTTGTATAAATTCGACCTGAAATAAAAAAAAATAATTACAATACACTGTACATAGTTATTAATCACCCAATAGTTTATAGATGAAATATCTATAAATCATTGGCCACTTGTTTCTTGCAAAAATATGTATAGTAACAAAAAAATCACAGGCTTTCAAAACTTGTTTGGTTTATGATTTACTGATATAAAATACCTTTATTAATATACTAGAATTGAGATTTTTTACACATTTCAATACAATTTTGGTTAATATACACAAAATCATGGTGTTATATCAAACATTAATTACATTTTCTTGTAAACGAAATATTTCATCGTAATACGCATTTAGCATACCTACAAATCCAAAAAAGAACAACTTACTTGATGTGAAGGGCAGTATCCATCTTCAGTCGATCTCGCAACAGTAATCAATGTAGGAGTTGGTAAATATTTTAAAAATAATTTGAATGATTTTGTAATCATTTCTTTCATATCTTCCTCAGTACTTATGTGGTAGGGCAGGCCTCCTTGGTCTCGAGTACAGCCACCGGCAAATATCGCCCACCAATCGGGTTTAACACCTAGTCTATTCGCTTCTATTTTTACAATATCAACTAAACTGGTAACCTGAACAGAAAAAATATGTATTTGGAAATATATGACAAAATGAAATAATAAAATGTTTTCGACATTGAGTGGGTGAACACTAATGCCCGATTTCACCAACAACCCATAAGCTACCACCTACGTATGGGATCCTTAGCTTAAAAGTCCACTAAATTAAATTTCGTTTTACGATCGTCTTTAAGCCCATATTTTGACCACCTAGATTTAGGGGGCCTTTTAATATTTAGGTGACCCTTAACTGTCGGTGAAACAAACTGTCCCCTAACAGCCCCATAACCATGCTTAGGGGATCCCTTAAACTTAGGTGACGTTGGTGAAATCTGGCATGAGTATCCTAAATTGTTTTTATTATCCTAAACTCTTTAACTCATGATTTGAAATATTTAAGACTTAACTTTTTCAAACAGCTTTGATTTCGGACCCGTATATTCTTCTAAATTGCCATATTTTTCTAAATGCTCAAATAAACTTTCAAGTTCTTGTAGTTGACTGTCTCTTAATATACAAAAATTTTCTATGGTTTTTTCATTATCATCCATTGGAATTTCAAAGCCAAATATAGGTTCTAAGCGATCGTACAATTTTATTTCCTCAAACAAATTAAGAAACGGATTTCCCGTGCTGAAAAAATCTAAATCTATATCGAGCACATATGGTTCACTTATATCAAGATTATGTGCCAACTCTTCTATCTTTTTCTCATTAAAATTTTGACTAAGTTCCGCAACTGTGTATAAAAATTGTTTTGTATTGAGTAACTGCGGTGAATATAAAGCATCGGATAAATAATAAGGCTCTTTACTGTTGACTCGTAGCAAGCCCGTCTCTGGGTGGTCTCCGACATGAATTGTGCGAGTGCCGTCAGTAAATTGCTTCGCCCACGGTGGTCGCAGCCATACCACCCGGGCTACATGGCCGGCCGCCGCCGCCGGCACTATCCAATTTTCTATTTGTAATAATGGCAAAAGTTGTCTACCAGACCGGGCCTCACTTCCCTTTAGTTTACGATCTATAAGCATGTCTGGATGTGCATCAAAATGCACTAGAGTCGTTCCCTCTAACGGTAGTTTTTTGCCTCCAATAGCGGCATATATAAATTGCAATGCTTCATTATGTTCCTCTACTACATATATAGGAATCTTCTTAAAACGTTTTACCGCATTAGTTTTATCCATAATACACGAATCGCTCTTATCTGGAATAATAGTTTATTATGAAGTTATTTTAAATATAACTTGTTTTATACATTTACAATACAAGTATTAGTTTTACATATATTATGAACATGACAACAACGAAGACGAGTTCAATTATGCCCTTGTAAATACCCTATTTACAAAAACCTATTATGTATAACGTTACGAGGCCCTTCGAAACTACGCAGCGACCAACAGTGTAACTTTTCGTTTGTTGTGTCCTTCAAATATAGGTCAAGGTCTATTGTCGAAAAAAAATCAAGAGGAAAGTGCCACCCCACTCCGTCGTTACTGCGCACATAGTACATACTCCAACATGTTTGATTTCGGTGTACAATATGTAACAAAATGACATTGATAAAGTAGAAAGAACACAGTAACGGACCGAACGCCAACAGTCATCTGTAAACAAAAAATTAAACGCAGCGCCGCGCCTGTACGCCGAGGTGATGTCAATAACAAAATCATTAATATTCCGATTTCACCTCATTCATGAGTGCCATTATAGTAATTTTATTTGTAGCCTATGTTTTTAATTAACATTGTTTTTAAGATTAGACCATATCATAAATATGTAATATGTAGTTAAAGTTATTAGGTTAAGGGAAAACCTAATAAGATTTGATATCACAAAACAACATTATATAAGGGAAGCATAAAAATATTTTCTTCGGCAATGTCCTTATAAGGCGCTGTTCCCTGCGGGCAGAGTCTTATTGTAGAAACTCAGCTGAATACTTCCTATAGCATGCAAACTTCCGGGCGGCGCGACGCGTAGCTGCGCGGAGCAGCTCGCTTGGTGGGGTGAGGAGGGGGATGTTGTGACGGCTCCCAGGGTCGATATATCGCGTCACTGACGTCACTACGCTACTACGCCCGTCCAAACATACCCCTCCGCACCACCCGGCACCCCCCGTGACCTATTGCGCTGTTACGCCCACCTGGGTCAAGGCGCAAAAACGGCGTCGGATACGCCCGGATGTTGGAGATGCTCGCGATTATTACGTTAGGTATGATAGGAATAACTCCTATTTATAGTTTATACTTTCTCAAATTAAGCAAAACTTCCATATTAAGTTATTTAGATTTGAAATATTAAGAGAATTCATTATGATTATTAGTATACTTATATAAAATGCAGTATTTATTTATCCACATGCTTTCTGTCTTTATTAAACTGCATGTAGAGTGTATTTATAGATTTATTTCTTATATGTACTGTACTTCAATGAATTTTGTCATATAGCCCGTATAATATTAATATTATCCGTATTATTATAATATTATAAATGTGAAAGTTTGTGAGTATGGATGTTTGTTACTTTTTCACGTCAGAACGGCTGAACGGATCTGGATGAAATTTGGCAGAGAGATAGATTATAGTCTGGAATAACACATAGGCTACTTTTTATCCCGTAAAAATATGCGGTTCCCAAGGGATAGATTTGTTTTTGTTAGCGTTACCACTATCGCTAGTACTAAATACTAGTATCCCATGAGAACATGTAAATAAAAAAAAATCATACCATTAAGTACCAGGCCCTTAGACTGTTGTGCAAATTAAAAAAGGGCACCAACAATCACTTACGTCTCAACTGGTCCGCTTAAGAGAATAGTTTTATATACAAGCAAAGAAGTGCCCTACTTCTAGGACTAATCTATTTTCCTAATATGTTTTAGCTTGACTGTAAAAAACTGTTTTTAGAAATACATTCATACATTATATTTGAACTAGCATTGCCCGCGGCTACGCCCACGCTCAGATGACAAAAAACCAAATTCTTAGGCTTTACAGATGATTTTTGCATTTTTCTCAGAAATGAGATATTTTCCCGCGGTAAAAAGTATCCTATATGTTGACCCGGATAACCAGCTATCACCATACCAAATTTCATCAAAATCCCTCCAGTGGTTTTTTTGTGATGCGGTAACAGACAGACAGACAGACAAAAATTCTAAAAACTATAGATTCGGCCTCTGTATCGATAATAATGTCTATTTCAATAATATTTTCCAAAAAATATTTCATGTACAGATTCGGCTTAGTTACAATTTTATTATATGTATAGATATAGAACATTTTAAAATTTAATGATACATCCACAATTTCATTCCATAATTTTCTCATTTATAGTAATTTGTATAACTTTCAAGAAAAAGGACCGTCTTCACCAGCTTGCCTTTTATTTATTTACCAGCGGCTCATTCTGGCTTCGCTCGGGTTCGTCGCTAGGTACGATTTAAAAAGATATAAATAGTTACTAGCCAGCGTTACCCACATAAAATTTATATTTTTTATCGTTAATTTTTCTGATATTTTAATACTTATTATCCTATTCCAGGCTAAGAGAAATCCAAAAAATCAAATATCATAAAAATTGGTCCAGCCGTTCTTGAGTTATAAATGGTGTAACTAACACGACTTTGTTTTATATATTTAAAATTATATAGATGGGCTGACTTTTTTTTAATTAGACACATAAAAAATATTGGTCTTCATATTAAATTTTTACACACACCTTTTCAACTTTTATAATAATTAATAATATAATAAAGACATATTGTACATATTATGTCCTCAGAGAGTTTATTAAAATTTAATCATTTAGGGTTTTCTTGAATCAATCTTGACCACCCACTTTATGTATAACTAGGGACTCACGATTGCGTCACTCGGGTTCGTCCCTAGCTTGACTCCCCATACAAACTTTCATCCCCATTTTCAACCCCTTAAGGGATGATTTCCGACATAAAAAGTATCCTATGTTCTTCCCAGGGTCACAAACTATCTTCTTACCAAATTTCATCAAAATCGGTTCAGTAGATCTAGAGATTACCCCCTACTATGTCGCAAACTTACAAAATCTCATAAACTTTTCCTCTTTATAATATTAGTATAGATATGTGATTTGTGAATATACATTAATTTGTGTTTGTGAAAGAATAACTATTTAAATTGAATACTATATGTTTTATGTATATTTAAAGGTTAATAAAACTCTTCCAATGTGGATGAGATTGTTACAACTCTGATGAATTGTTTTTAGATGTTTAATTAAGTACTTATACAAATATGTATAGTTATACATGCAATATAACATATAAAGAAAGAAAGAAACACATAATATTTCTTTACTAATGAAAATTGGTCATTATTTCAATTTATCTTTAAAATATTAGATTAAACTATGTTATTTTCTGTGCCTTTCATCCAGATCCGTTCAGCCGTTCTGACGTGAGTAACAAACATCTAAACATCTAAACTTTCACATTTATAATATTAGTAAGATTTTTATATGATAAATGACTGATTTAAATTTATTGTCAATAATTATATGCATTAACAAAATAAAAAAAACATACTTACTGAATAATCGAAATAAGTAGTTAACTCGTAGTTTTAAACATTTTTGATATAATATTTTCAGAATGCTGTTATTACTAGTTATACATGAATAAAGAGACCTACAAAACTTATTTGGACTTTGGTAAATTTATTTAATAAATAATGTAATCAAATGTAAATATTACATGACATAATATGTCAATTGCCAATGTCAACTTGACAATTTTCCACGGATTTCTAAATAACTGGGCACACTTTTTCAATTTTAGTTCACTCACTTTTATTCATCGGCTGATTATTTGAAATTAATTTAAAAACTTAATTTATATATTTTTTGAAATCCTAAAAGAAAATTCCTTATAAATCTGACAAGCATATTATTTTTAAGAGAATGAAACCATTAAAATTATATCGTAATACCACTCTATTTGAAAGAAAGTTCTTAATATTTATTAATAGATTTATTTGATAATGGAATCCAAAAAATTAAAACCAAGCATTTTCATATATACTCTAGCTAAGCAGTCTCTAAAGAGCATGGGAAAATTGTGAGCTTTCTTAATTCTTTGTACTTACACTTTCTCTAGTTAGCAAAGCAAAGTAATAGTATTGCCAGCTTTATTAATCACAATATATTAGTACCATGGATGACAAAATTAGTACTCTTTGAATAATCATGTAAACTCTAAAGCATGGATGACAAAGTAAGGCCAGTGTAGCCAGCTTTGGGGGTTTGCCCAAATTTAGGAAGAAAAATTTCACAGAGGTTTTTAGGAGGAAAAAATGTTTAGGGATATTTATAGGGGGAAAAATATGTTTTTTTTTTCTTTAATAGCATGACCTGAATATAAATAACTTTAACAATTCTTTTTATTTGTAAATAAAAGTATTTTTTATATAATTAACTTTACAAACATGTTATCTGTGATTATTAAATTTATGATAAACAACGAAGCACAATATCCTTAGCTTTGATATTTGTAATTGATCGAACTTTTTGATGAGTTTAACTATTTTAATTTTTGAATTATTTTATAATAAATATGACATACCGCATAATGCCTTAACTGGTAACATTTATAAGTATGTGCTGGTAAGTTACCAGGGGTAAAAAAATGGCACCGGGGATTTTTTAGGATGAAAATATATTTAGGGTCTTTTTATAAGGGTTTATAAAGTTTCGGTTAAAGACTACGAAAAATTATATACCTTTCTTTATTTTCTAAGTTATCTATGGAATTTATTATTATTGTTTATTTATTTTTATAACTCTGATTTTTAATGTTAGTAATAAAATATTATTTTAGTCTGACAGTCTTCATATAAAAATTGGCATCAAACTAACTTTAAAGGCTTAAGTGAATATTTTATTAAAATACTTTATATATTATATACTGTTACTACTATATAATTTAAAAGAAAAAACACGCTTATTCCCTATTAATGAAGGAATTTCATTAATATGCTTTAGAAAAAAATATCAAAAAATATATATTTAAAACTAAAATTTTTGGGTTAAAATGAAAGTCACAATTTATTAAACCTAAATAAACCTTTATTTCATATGTAATTTACACATGGGAAATATAAGCAGGGTCTAAATTAAAAATGTCTCATGATTGTTCTTTAAACAAATAAACATAATGCAAACAAATCAGATTCTATCCTCTCTGCCAATAAAACAACCATGTGAGAGTTAATTTACCTTAAAAATAAACTTATGAAATTTTAATTGTTATGAAATATATATTAAAATGAAGATAAATACGAGAAGTCAGTTGCGTTATATTTTAAATGCTTTGTATTATTAATGCATCTCTTGATCAGTTAATTAAAATCTGTTCATTTGAGACTCGCACCTGCTTTTGTTAATATAAAAATAGCATTTAATAATATGACAAAACGTCACTTACTCTAAATTGACAATTAATGTGATACGGTCAAATTTGCCTTATTATCTAATGTTATTTTACTGCTATATCGTAACTACGAAGGTAATAGAGGATTAAGTAGATTTAATCTACTGAAGTGTAATTATTGTGTATAAACCAATGACTGAAAACTTTAATATCATCTAGCGCAAAATAATGGGTGGGGATATTATATTATATAATAATAATTATAATAATAAATCTATACTTACCAATAATAAAAAAAGTGAACCATAATCTTTGTACTTTGTTCACTAAATTATAACTTGGTGAGAGAAAGGCCGCTTAGGGCAGTGAAGAGCTGGCATTTTATAAATATAATTTCCAGTGACTTACATAATTTTCGATTCAGTGATGTCACAAAATTAAGTCAGATTAAAAACGACTATTTTTATTAAGTTAGGCTAAAGGCACTATCATGGCACGATAGATAGGTAAGATCTAGGAAGATACAAATAGTACAGGACTTTAAATCATTTCTTTCTTCTAAATTCTAAATATAATAAGTTGGATATCTCAAATCTTACCATTCTATTGAGTCATGTATGCGCCGTGATTGTTCACTAAATACGTTAGAAGACAGCCCATAGGGCGAAATTCAAACCTAAGGAAAAATGGTGAGGCACCGTGTTGTAAAAATATTTGCACCGTCGAAAATGCGGCGCTCCAACTTGCGTACGTTACATTACACGACAGTTCTCTTCACCCTCGCGAATTTCTCCAAGCTAGAAATAAAAAAATGTATATTTTATATACATACTAGTATTGACCGCAGCTCCGCCTGTGTTCAGATGGATAAAAACCAAATTCTTAGGTTTTACATATTAGTATAATCTTAATTACAGTTTTTGTATTTTTTTCAGATAAGAGATATTTTTCCGCGGTAAAAAGTATCCTATATGTTGACCCGGATAATCAGCTATGACCATACCAAATTTTATCAAAATCCATCCAGTAGTTTTTCTGTGATGCGGTAACAGACAGACATACAAAAATTTTAAAAACTATAAATTCAGCCTCTGTATCGATAATAAATGTCTATTTCAATAAGATTTTCAAAAAAATATTTAATGTACTGATTTGACTCAGAATTTTATTATATGTATAGATATGTATTATGTACATATTACTTTATTTTTTAATTTATGATTTTTATACTTTAGTTCTTAGGGAAAGTTTTCAATAATAAATATATCTAATTCAGTCTCCCACTGATCACAATTACGCATCACACATTATCCACCACGGTGGTCAAATGGTTTAGTGGACTTTACATGCTAAAAGTTGTTTTTATCCATTAATAAAACAAAGTGTACTTTGTTCTATAGTTATAGATTTTATTTAATTACCTGTTCACGACGAGGGAATTTGTGCGCCAGTTCACGATGTCTTTGTGCACTTGTACTGATCTGACGCCGTTGTCGCTCCGACATCGCTACTTCCTACAAACATAAAATTTTAAATAATAAAAAAAAAACAATAAAATTAAAAGTGATTATGAGACAAGAATTTAGTTTTAATAAATATATATTAAATAACGTAATATATATTCATTTGTTATTAATGTGCCTACCTATCTTGATTCATGCAGGTAGTCTCTAACAGCTATTTTATTTCCATAATAATATGATTAAAGTAACAATAATGCCTACCTCTTGGTCATTATTGAGCAGTTTGGTAGTGAAGGTGTCAGCGACGAACCACTTCTGTCCCTTCATGACAATGTCTCTGGGAGGGTCGTGGTCGACGCCCGCGTCCGCGGACCACACGGTGGCGATCGCGCCGGGCTCCAGCTTCACTGTGCGATGGAATTTGAAAACTGTCTCTTGATCTCCTGCTTTACGAAGAATTTGGTAGCCACCAAGACTTTGCTCCTGTAAAAGATTTAAATATGTAAACAAACTTCGAACTACTATTTATATATGCGAAAATTGTGTATAGATGTATGAATGTTTGTTATTTCCTCACGTTGATATGCACGCATGATTTCGAATAAAATTAAGTATGTGCACAGAAAGACTACGACCAGGAGTAGCAAATAGGCTTTTTAAGCAGCCAGGGAGCACTGAAGTGGAACGATCGTTAAATCGTTTTTTTTTTCATTAATTATAAAGTTTATGTGTACAACTTCTATGTACATAAGTTGAAATTTTGTATCTAAGTATGAAGGTGTCACGGCGTGCTTAAGGTAAATAGCTAGTTTGTAATACAAAACGCTCGAGTAGTCTATGCCTATAACTATACAATGATGTGCTATGACCTACCTTTTTCCCCTTGTTCCTGATCTTAACAAAGCTGCCATCAGGGCAGGCCTCGGCGACTTCGAGGTCCCCTTTAGCGCTGGAGGTTACACTGAAGTCCTGCAGACTGCGTTCCTCGCTCTCGTCGAGCAGCGTGCGCTTGCGGGCGGCGCGCAGCGGCGTGGCGCGGCGGCCGGGCGTGGCGCGCCCGCCGCTCGCGCTGGCCGACGCGCTCATGGACGCGCGGGACTCGCGCCCGGGCGACTGGGAGGTTAGGTTCAATCTGGAAATGTGTTATAATTAATATATATAACATTTTTGAAGTTATACTTCTTTTGCCACGTTTGGTAAGAAAAATATGAGAGTAAAATTTTTACGATGTGCACACCGACAGCCAAAAAGCGACACGATGAAGTTAGCTGCATTCCTTTTACAAACAGAGAGTTGTGACATACGGGATGAAATCTTTAGCTATTTTCGTTCTGTTACGCCAAAGAAGTATAACACAGGTTTTTTTTTTGTTTTAATTAAATTATTTGTTTCAAGCAGATAAACATTGAGTTCAACTTCTAATTATAAATAAAAATCAGTAAGTAACATATTATTCATTATTTCTTATGAAAGGATTAAGCAGGTATAGTCAAATTTTATATAATTATTACAATGCATATCTCACACTTGGCCCATATCGAGACAACGCTTCTCAAACCTCAACCCTGCTTTTGAACATAACTGTACAAGTAAAGTACTGGACGCCCAACCCCCTCGCTAAATATTTCCGCTAACTTCCTTCATTTCGCGTGGGATCTATCATCAATGTGAATTAGTGTACATAAACAACAAAACCCACCTGTCCTCCTCGCCTTCAATGAGAGCGCGGTAGGTAGCGATCTCGTGGTCCAGGGATATCTTGATGTCCATCAAGGTGGCGTACTCCCGCAGCTGCGCCGCCATCTCGTCGCGCAGACGCGCCAGCTCCTGCTCCAGCGACGCGAGGTCCTCAGCGTGGCGGGCGCGCTCCGACTCCAGCTGGCGTTCCAGCTCACGGCAACGGTTCTGCATTTGTAATATAGATGTACATTATTTTCTATTTCTTTTTGTTTACACTTTTAAAATCTTTGAATTTTATTGCTGAGAGAATTTATAGTAGCTATTGGTAGTGTATTCTTATTTATTTTAATGTTAACTGTTCATTTTAACTGTTGGAAATTAAAGTAAATTTAAGATTCTATATATTTAGACTAAATTTTACATAAAAAATTAAAAACATTCAATAGTAGCTTAGTAATTCTCATTTTTAGCACATTTCTAAAATGACTAAGGAAATTGAAAATTATGCCTAACATATACCATCTATTAATACATACTTAAAGAAATCAAATGGCCGAAATTTCAAATACAATTGAGTAAATCTACACTAATATTAAAAGAAGTAAAGTTTGTCAGTTTTTGCCGCTCCGAAAAGCACCGCTCCGATCTAAAATCCCCGACGACGAAAAAAATCTATAAAGTCGTAAAACCTGTATACCAAGTTTCGTCCATCTGTTGTAAAATACGACCCGTGGAGGTGTACCAACAAACTGACACAGAAATGCAAATATTGTTAGACTTGAAGTAGTTTCTGCGTCACACGATCGGTCAATATTAATTGTAGTCGGAAAAAAATGTTCAATGAGTTACTATATCGGCGATTTTTAAGTAATCAATGCGAAGGTAATTGAAGACTCACGCTAAGGGCAGCGTTCTTGTTCTCCAGGTCGTTGAGCGTGGCGTTGAGGCTATCGATGCGCGTGCGCATGGTGCGCAGCTCCTCCACCGCCACCGTCGCCGCGTTGCTGTTGCGGTTGGATGCCGCTTGCAAGTTCTTCAACTGCTTGAGAAAATAAAATTCATTAGAACATTTATATAATTTTCAGATTAATTGAATCTTAATGCTATTTGATCTGATTGGGAATTTAAATAGACTATGTAGATTTTGTCTCACTATCAATCAGCTTTTCGCTATTTTATTTTTATATTTTTGCTAGTGATAGAGTATGGTGTGTTGATATGTTGATGGGAAAATATTGGTGTTTAAAAATTCTTTTGCTTTAATTACTTAATTCAAGCAATATGTATCATAGACAATGCCTTGGACAAGAATAAGTTTATGCTGCTCAAATTGTTTATCTGTTTTAAACATTGGAAAATATATGTAATTGAAACAATTCCAATAGTATTCATATTTTATAAGGCACTATGTTGATGTCATCGATAAATTAAAAAAAAAACGTGTGTGTGTACTTATGTACGCACGTAAGAAGTTATACTTCGTTGGTGTAACAGAAGAAAAATAGCTAAAGATTTAATCCCGTATGTCACAACTCTCTGTTTGTAAAAGGAATGATAAATTAATAATATTATATTATGTATATCGTTTATTAGACAATAACAACGGTTACCATGGCAACAAACATTTATCAGCTAACTTCGTCCTGTTGCTTTTTGGGTGTCGGAGTGTGTCCCAAAAGAAGTATAACTTCAAAAACTAAAGACTTTGGGCGATTTTAATAATTTAAAATATTCGCAAACCATGGTAAACACCTTTTTTTTCTTGTAGATTTTTCATAACTAAACTCACAAATATATAACAAATGCATATAAAACTTCGAACAAACATTGTAATTTGGTCTCTAAGATAACAAAAACGATAATAAAACGGTTATAATTTGATAAAAATGGAGTCAATGTTAGTTCTTTTTTATACAAACGTCAAACACATATTTGATATATGAGTCATATTTATATAAATCATTTTTGCTTATAAGTATATTTTTGTTTGTAAGCATTGTTGCATAATATGCATTGGTAGGCATATTTATAACTATTTATAATAGTTTACTACAACTTACTATAAAAGTTGAGGAAGGAAAATATAATATATGTTACATAATGTGTATCGAGATAGATGGAGAGAATAAATTTAATGAATTGAGTTTGGATTTGTGACTGTGGACTTATGCCACTACACTAAAAAGTAAATATTAAAGGTTAAAACTAATAAAAATAGCTTGTAAACTTGACGACACATTTGGCTCAGTTTGTAGTGACCCTACTGGATGTGCCAGCGGTCGTAGGTACGAGTCACGCTGAGGGCATTCATTTTGTGATGAGCATGAATGTTTTTACTCCAGTCATAGGTGTTTATATTTATCTTATGTATGTATTTATAGTTATATATGTGTAGTGTATCAAGCATGGAACTAGATGGTGCTGTGTGACAGTTAATGTCCCAACATATTTATTTATTTTGGAAAATTAAAATATATGTTATATTATATACCTTGTTCTCATACAGAGCTTCGATTTCATCTCTGTTGGCCTTAATATTGGCCTCTTGTTGTTCACGAAGCTCTTGTAGACTTTGCTGGAGTTTAGCCTCATACTGTTGAGCGAGGCGACCATCTGTTGAAATAACCAATTAATAAATGAATAAAACTAGTACATATAATACATACATATACTCGTAATACATTAAAATATAAAAAAAATGAGCTTGTGGGGTATTTAATATGTATTCACTGTTAACAATTAGACACATTACAATATAGTTATTTTTATTTTGACTTATGAATTAAAAATTAGGGGTCAATTTCCTTTTGTAATACCTTTTCAAATAATATTATTAAAATAACATACAAAATAAAATACTGAATTACGAAACAAAATTATTTTTATACTAGTGACTCACCCTCATACATTTTAACAGTTAGTATGGAATAGATAGACTATATAATTATTATCTTTATATACATAGGTATGATGAGTTGTGTAAAAGTATCCAATGTCACCCTCCAGCCCTCGCAAACACAAAAAGTCACGCCAATCCGTCACTCTTTTTCGACGTGAAAGAAGGACAAACAAACACACTTTCACATTTATAATATTAGTATATATAGCTTATAGACTTACCAATTTCAGAGATCTCCACCTGTCTTCTGGTGCGGGTCTCTTGCAACTCCTGCTGGAATACCTGGTCCTTGAAGGACAGCTCCTCGCGCAGACTCTGGACGGTGTTCTCCATATCGATGCGGCACAGCATCTCCTCCTCGAGGGTCTTGCGCGTGTCCGCATACACTTTGCGCAATTTTTCCAATTCTTTGGCCAGCTCCTAATATAGTTATTAAATTATTATAGATTGGTTTAATATTTTTTTAATTAATCAACTTAAATTAATATTTTTCTAATATTATCTAATTTAAAACAGAAACTTCAGGTTTGAGCATATTTCGTGGTGTACTCCAAAATTAAATAATTTTTGATATTGATAAAGAAAAAGATTTCTAGATGAACAGAAATTTGCAGTAAGAGGAACTGAGAAGAGGTTATTAACATTGTATGAATTATGCAAAGATTTTTTTTAAGGCAGACATGACACGACACATTATAATATATATTTTTATCCTATATGTGCAACATCATTTGCCTGATGATTTGAAAGTATCGAAAATTAACATTTGTAAAGAAATTAAAATTGGATATTTTTAAACAATATATTTTGGTAATTTCAACAATACCAGTTTTACATATTTAAACGATAAGAATGCAGGTTACGTAGTTACTCGAATGTTCTAAGTGGATTTCTTATTAAATGTTCAGCAACAAATGAATTAAAGGTTAAAAAGTTAATTTATACAGACCCTGGCCTCATCCTGAGCCTTCTTCTTGTCAGCAAGGGCAGTGTTGTATTTGTTGCTTTCCTCAGTATAGCGAGTTTCATAGTGACGCGCCAAATTCTCAGCTTGTTGACAATCCTTAGTCTTCTTGTCTAAGCTGTAAAATGTAAAGAGTATTATTAGAAAAAGAGTACTCGCTTATATATAAAAGTCGCATATCGTATGTGATCTTGACATACATTTGTATAATAAACGATTTACAAAGTTTACACGTTCTAGTTCTTTATTACTAACGAAAAAATAGCCGCGTGAATCAATATTCATAATCTACGCTTACAAAATAAAAAAATGAACTACATTAATCTGTGTAATGGCTAAACGTATTTTAGTATTACATTTACTGTTTCTCCTAAGATTTTATACATACGCTACGAAAAGTTTTCACATACTTGAAGAGCAGGGCTCGGAAATCGTTTCCATTTTCAAACAGGTTTTGGTCATTGACCCCAAACCGAAAGGCTTTTCGGTTTAAAGTTTCGGTTTTAAAAGAATTTAGGTGTCATGACCAAAATAAACCGGTAAAAAGGAGTTTTTGTGCGTTTACATTTAGAAGGATGCATGTACGTTTCTTACTTATGAATGAATTAACCGATTTATTTCGGTATCAAAACCGAAGTCCAATCTTTTTCTAAGAAAAATCATTAACCATTACATTACCAAAATAAACAGTTTTTTTAAACCGCTTCCGAGTTCTGTTTGAGAGATTGATAAACTATTTTTTTATTATTATTAGTTGTAAGCTACGGGTGATAGCCGATATATAAATACGTGATATTAAATTCGTATTTCATTAGCTATTTTCGTAATGCTCTATATAAAATTGTTACAAGGTTGTCAATGTGTACATGAGTTTTATCAATAAAGACTTATATTTCACGTTCCCCCTTATTTGTTTACGTAAGTTATGTTGCGTGACCATCCATAACAAAAACTAAAAGGGGACCTTCCAACTACCTACTAACGAAAATAACTTAGAACGCGAAAGGAAAGCAATAGTATTTTAGAACAATATTGGAAAATGCATTAGTTTTAGAGTTTAGACTACAATATAAATGTTTTAAATGTACATATATGTTAGATATGAACTCTAGCATTATTATGGATATGAATGTTAACTTATCATTCGTTTTACTTATATCTTATCAAGGCTAAAATAATCCCGACGATTTTTAAAGCTGTTATTGTAAAGAAGAGCATATACTTTATTTTATTAGGTGGAAAAATAGTTTTTTTTAGTGTTTTAGTCCTATGAGAAACTGAAAGTATCTCAGTCCATCTAAGCTACGAAATTTCGCCATAGGTATAACATGTAAGACTGTGGCAGTCAGCTAAGTCAATTCTTGTTGTCAATGACATTATAAGCTCTAGCTCTACAAACAGTGTAACCTGATCGAAGGCCGCTTTGGGTTAACATTGCTTACACATGACATAACTTGGTAAATAATCATTATAAATCATGATTGATCATCGTTTCCTTATTTAGATATTCAATATTGTGAAGTTTTTATAAAATTAATTTTATAATTAATTAACTTTCGTTTATTATTACGGCTTAAATAAATCATCATAATATCAAATCACCAACCAATAATCATAATGAATGACTCTATAAGACGTTCAACATTGATCCCCACCATAACGTAAGCTAGGTACAGGCTACAGCTCCTACCTCTTAATACAATTAAGCTCGCTGTAAGTAATGGCGCTTTAAAACGGATGTATATTTGTTACACATGTGTTTTTGTACATTCATATTTAAATATAAATTTCTATTGTAATAATGGTTTTGTCGATGCGGGAGGCGTCATTGATGTAGAAATTATCATTTTATATAAAAGTAGCATTGCCCGCGGCTCCGCCCGCGTTGAGATGACCAAAAACCAAATTCTTAGGTTTTACATATTAGTATACTCTTACATTGCAGTTTTTGTATTTTTTCTCAGAAATGAGATATTTTCCCGCGGTAAAAAGTATCCTATATGTTGACCCGGATAATCAGCTATAATCATACCAAATTTCATCAAAATCTGTCCAGTGGTTTTCTCGTGATGCGGTAACAGACAGACAAAAATTCTAAAAACTATAGATTCGGCCTCTGTATCGATAATAATGTCTATTTCAATAAGATTTTCCAAAAAATATTTAATATACAGATTCGGCTTAGTTACAATTTTATTATATGTATAGACTAGCCACTCATCTTCGATTCGTTCGGGTTCGCCCCTAGCTTGCTTCCCAATACAAAATTTCATCCATATTTTCACCCCCTTAAGGTATGATTTCCGAGATAAAAAGTATCCTATGTCCTTCTCAGGGTCTCAAACTATCTTCTTACCAAATTTCATCTAAATCGGTTCAGTAGATACAGACTTTAACTATTCATAATATTATAAACATAAAGACCAATTTTGTATTATTTTACTAGTAGGTATATACTTGCATATTTAATATAGATAATCTATACTAATATTATAAAGAGGTAAGGTTTGTGAGTTTGTGAGGCTATAAGGGATAATCTCTGGATCTACTGAATCGATTTAGATAAAATTTGGTAAGATAGTTTGAGACCCTGGAAAGGACATAGGATAGTTTTTATCCCGAAAATCACCTCTTAAAGGGATGAAAGTTTGTATGGGGAAGCAATCTAGGCGAGCCCGAGCGTAGGGAGGGTGAATCGCTAGTGTTTAATAAAGAGTGATATAACAGATAACAAACTTTATAAAAATGAAATATTAGCAATGACGTATTTGTAAATACAATGTTCTAAAAATTTGTATTAGTTTCTCGTGAACACATATAAATTCATTATTTTGTAGTCACGGTTATATTTACTTGATTACGTCAACCGTGAAGTTAGACAGTCTCGTATAATCAACGGACGCTATTATAAGTGAATCCCTACAGCACCCAATTTATAGATAAAAATAAACTTTACTTTAAGATTAATTTGCGAATCAAAATGTGCTGTAAATATTTTATAAAAAGTTTTATATAGTCTATCTTTAGGCGCGTTATGACGATCAAATTGTAAAAATGATGTCGAATTTCGAATAAATAAATTTTTAGAGAAATGACGATTACACTTTTCTTATTAGCTATATATTTTTCTAAATAAATTGTTTATGTTATAGCCTTACAATGCTTAAATTCAGTAGGTGTAAGGTTGTCGGGTATACATGACGTAGTGTTCACGGTCATTGCAAGGCAATTAAATGACCACATGTTGTCAACCTGTCTTTATAAGAATTTATCGTGTTTTTGACTATGCAATTTAAAATGTTAACTAAGTAAGAAACTGACATATGCAGTATATGTGCTAGCGTAGGAAGCATGTTGAAAATAATTGATAAGATATCTGTCATTCTACTACATCCTAATACATTTAACTATTTACAAATGCGGTCCGCCATGATATAGTGAAATACTAAGTAAACTATAGTGGTGTTAGCAGGTTGGAGTCCCATATACGATGGATATATCTATTTATATAGATAAAGTATGTGATGTGCTTAGCTTACTTATATAAGATCCCCATTTTGCAAGCCTTTTAATGATCTTGAGAAGAAAAATAATCTAAATATTTTGTGGTATTAAAAATACCTACCATTTAAATAAAAAATGACTATTAGAATCTGCTTTCAAATGTTCTAGTCTAGTTATACATATAGCATTACTTTTCTTCTTAAAAAAGTAAAATGTAATTTAAGTGCCTATGTAAGAATAAAATTACATATATACAAAATCAGTTATAGAAAATTCAAAACTAGGTATTTTTCAAATAATAGAAAATAGTATTATTTATTCTTATAACTTTATATGATTAATTAATCATTAATGAACTCAAGCTATCTCCTAAAAGGCTCAATTTATTCCATTTTCTTCTAAATGAAAAATATGTATTAGAAATTTAAAAACCCAACATTTGTTTATCGAGTGATTTTCTATATTTACATTTTCCATTATCTTTACATTTATTACTTTGATAATCATGATAAAGTTGAATGGTTTGTAATTCTTAATTTTTTTAATGCTTTAAAGTAAGATAAAAAAATACTTATCCATGTAAGATATAGCAAAAGTCAAAAGTAAGAAAAATTACAAACTTATTTTTATAAATGTTTGTTTAAAGAAAGTAGAGCAGGCCTTGACATAAATAGATTGGCAATCAGATCATTTTTTAATTACAACTTATTGAAATAATGTTTATATCTATTTAATTGTAATTAATAAACAAATAATATATTCATATAATATTTATATGATCTTAAAGATGAAAAAATCTTTTCACACTATTAAATATATTTTGTTTACAAACAAAACTATGTTAAGTTCAAATAATACTAGGCATTTTAAAGAATGATTTTTATATTTTCTAAAATTAAGTGTTAGAATTGTATGTGATTGGATTGTTATATTGAGGTATGATGTCACTATGTCGTAAAGGCGAGGTCGTGCGCGCCCGTCATTCCAAGCTTACACCGAAACGCCGTCGATGACGTAAACTATGCTAAGGTTAGCCGGAAAAGATTCCTCAAAATGTGAGGACACATGCAATTTTTCTACTTATAATTGTCATCAGTATCTTTTACTTATCATTATTACTAATGGGAACAAATTAGTACATTGATTATTAGCTTACCGTTTCTTAAGATCGTCATTTTCTTCATATAGCCTCTTCAAATCAATTTCCAATTTTGCTTTCTCTCTGGATGTATCATCTAGTAACTTCCTTGCATCTTGTAATTCATTTTCGTACATTCCCTTTATATTAGAAACCTCGCGTGTGACCACCTCCTGTGTTGTTTGAATTTCACGACGAAGTCCAGAATTCTCGCTTTCAAGTTGACGAACCTTATCAATGTAGGCTGCAAGACGGTCATTAAGATTTTGTAAGGCATCTTTTTCCTGAAGACGCGTATGTCTTGTTGGACTTAGGGGGCTGTTTGGTCGACCGGCAGAACTTGAAGGGCGGCTACCAACCGGAGTGCTAGATTGTGGAGGGCTTTGCACTGATGACACAACACTAATATTGGTCGACGATGACACAGTCTTTTTTGATTTGGACGACATTTTTGAACAGTTTTTCAGTCACAAACAAAAACAAATACGCGGTTTTTTCTTCAACCAACTATCGGCGGCAAGCGTAGAACTCGATTTCTTCTGTAAAGCTAAAGCCAAGCTAAAATGATCACGTGACCATTGAGTCATAACAAAATGTCGCCATAATAGAATTGAAATTGCAATAAATAAAAATATATAATTAGTCTGTTAGTAAAATAAGAAAAAAAACATATTTAAATTCATAAAAATAGAAAAGTAAATATTTCATTATTTATTTACAGATTTAAAAAAATAAGTGGCGATGATTTATCTCATTTCAGATTTAGTGGAATCTGTTTTCTCATATTAGTTATTTTTAAGCTATAACAATTTTATTTGTGTTCTTTCATCTATTATTTATGGTTGAAATTGAAAAGTACTTATCATTTTGATTTGTACTTTCTGCATGTTTTGGTTTTTTAGAGATAATATCTTTCGTTAATTTAATATTATAATCGAATACATGTTATTAATGATATGTGATATTTTTATAGTGTCTCACAAAAAATAAAAAGTGTATCGTGACGTATGATTTTCCTGTCAATAAAAATATTCAGCTGATTTTTGTTTACGAAATTACAGTAATGTACTCATTCGAAGGAGATTTTAGACGTAAACCACAACAAAATTTAGCAGGTGCTAGTGCTCAACATAAAACAGACAGAGATGCATTGATACTTCAATTGCAACAGCAAAGACAGAAACGAGAGGTTAGTAGTATCAGAGTATATTTCGACTCTTATTATTTCCTATATTTTAGAAGATATAAGAGTAAGATACAATAGGAAAATCAAGGTTCTTTACAAATAACTTATTTTTCTAATGTCCTTAATTTTTGAATATAATAAATGTTTGTTTCATTTATAGGAACACAGAAAACGATTACATAGTACAATAAAAATACAAGCCTACGTACGCAGTTACCTTATAAGAAAACAGTGTAAACAAAGTGAAAGAGAAGAATTTGACAGTATCTTTGCTAAAGTTAAAAACAATGATCAAACATTGATTACATTACTTCTGTCTAAAATACTGTTCTTCTTTGATGATAAAAAGGATTGCACAAGATTAGTAAGAAATTATTGCATTTTATAGCTTATAAATATTATCTATGATGATTTAATATTTAGTTGGATTAGTGTTTACATTTGGGATTATATTTTATAAACATAAAACAACAAATCTTAATTCATACAAAATATCTTTTTCGATGTATAATAATTCTTAAATCTATACTAATATTATAAAGGGGTAATCTCTGGATCTACTGAACCGATTTGAATGAAATTTGGTAAGAAGATAGTTTGAGACCCTGGGAAGGACATAGGATACTTTTTATCCTGGAAATCAACCCTTAAGGGAGTGAAAATGGGGATGAATGTTTGTATGGGGAATCAAGCTAGGGATGAACCCAAGCATAGCGAGGGTGAGTTGTTAGTTATACAATAAATTAGAAAATAACATGCTCTAAGTTCCAATTTGAATTATTAATACTTTATTTTAAAATAGAAAAATGTTATAATTTAAAAATGATTATAATTAATATCTATTACTTATATAATAATATTTTACTAGGTGTCAGTCTCTCAACTGCTGTTAAAGCAATGGAAAAGAGTATTACAAAGATGTGGTTCTTCAATACAAATTAGACGTTTATTGGCCCTGCATCTTCGATTGTTGAGAAATGATAATGAGGTGCATAAATGATTCTAATTTCAATAATTTTATAAGGCTTAAAAGTATGCTTTAAATAAATCTATCATTAAAAATCATGTAAAATGACAAATATTCTAATAAATCTAAGAAAGTCTGAAGCCCACTTCAAAGTAAAAGTTTAAAAATGTAATGTAAATGATTGTGTAAATTTTGTTATAATTTAAATACTTATAATAAGATAGAATTTAAAACACATTATTTTTTAATATAATTTTATTTTAAATTTTTAGATACCTTTAGCTGTTCCATTGAGGATGTTTGAAGTTTTCACTTCTGTAAGCTCAGCGGAAGACTCAATGAATTGCGATGAAGCTGTTAATAAAATAGGAGCAACATTTTTGTATTTAATTAAAAGAGGTGAGCTATGCAAGTATTTTTTTTTTATTTATGAGCCACATTCCTCTGACGTGGAGATCAGAGACCTGATCAGAGAGGTGGATTGTTTACAATTTTGAATTTTCTATTACTAAATTTACATGCTATATGGGGTCTTATTTTATTACAGTTTTTGTTTTGTCAAGAGTTTCTAACAATTTTATTACTTATTTTAGTTTACTTACATTTTATTTCTTATGAGTTGTACATTTTGGTTTACTTTCTATTTCTTAGTGTTATTTATTTTAGTATTATGTTCTAATTTTAGGTTACTTTACGACATTCAGGAGTTTCTTTCCTTTCGGTTTTTTATCTATTATTTATTACACAGTTCTTATTGCTAAATCTTATTATTACGTATATTATATATATTGATTAACAATATGTAAATATACTATTTCTTACTTATACTATTTATTTGCTTATATGTATGTACTGTTTTATGATTTTATTTTTATTTATTTTTTTTAATTTTTTAATTTTTTTTTTATTATTTTTTTTTTTTTTTTTTTATTATTTTTATTTTATTTTTTTTTTTATTTTTTTTTTTTTTTTTTCCAGTACCAATTTTTTACTTTATTATTTACTAAGATCCTGTAGGGGTTTTGTGTGCCGACTGTTTTAAACGCGTTATGTAATTACTTACACTTCGCGTTTGCAGTGGTGGGAATTTGTTGCTTTTCCGACGATCTGCTGCGGTGTAAGCTAAGCTTGCTCCGTGATATCTTCATGATATCATGCAATTTTTGCGTCTGACGCATGTGCTGCTAGTGTGGGTTTATTTTAATTGTAGGCTACGCTAGAGCGTGCTAAGGCGTCCCATTTTTTTCTCACCGGACAGTGTGTGTCAAAGCTGTTATGGTCCGTTCGTGCACACTTTGCCTGCTGGCAGTTTCTGCACGTGGGCTCCTCACCTGCCAGCAGGCTTGGGCATTCGGTGCGCATGTGTGGGCCGGCACAGTGGCTGCACAGATCGACTGATTCGGCGCACCACTTCTTGCCGTGCCCAAAGGCGAGACATCTCGAGCACTGGATGAGTGGGGACAGGTCAAAAACCGGGACCCTTTGGAATTCCACGTACAGTCTGCCCGCAGTTGTCATCGCTTGCCACACTTGTGGCGATACCTGTAGTACGACGTGGTTTTCCGTGGGGTCCCTGGCTCTCCTCCTATGTCGAACCTTCATTCTGAAGTGCTCCATCGGCACTGAGTCCAGTACCTCCGGGTTTTGTTTTTTCAATGCTTGCAATATTCCATTGTCAGTAATACTAGATGTCACGTTTCTTAATATAACCAGAGGGTCTTTGTTTTCCTTTGGTTCCACCTTGAAGTTGTTTTTCTCTAAGGTTTCCTTTATGTGTTCTATGTCAGTCTTCTTCTCGCACCCAATCAACACCCTTTGGTCTTTTACTTTCCTAAGTTTCGCTATTTGTAGGCCAGAGTCTTTTGCGTTTATTGTGTCTTTTATTTTTGTTATGACATCCTCACTTGTGTCTATGGCATCTTCCGTTCCTACGATGAGGCAATGGGTGGTCTTTGGTCTCTGCTCTATGAGTGCTTCAGAGTATGTCTTGTTTGGTGTTTTTAACATGACTTTGTCCGGTTCTTCTTGTTCTACTTGTTGTATTTGTTTTGCTTGCTGTGTTTGTTTTATCAGTTCTAGTTTGTTTTTTACTTCTTTCACTTCCTGTATTGTTTCTTTGGCTACTTCATTTTGTGTTTGTATTATGTCTGTGCTATGCAAGTATTGAAATTTGTTTCTAACAGTTTGTGAACATTTTTCTTACATTGCATAATGTTTCCTTAAAGTTTCTTGAAATATACTTTCATGTTAAAAATAATAATATCAAACAATTGTTTTCCATAATAATTACTATTTGCTATTTAGTATTTGTAATATTATATATTAATACTAGCGACTCATCCTCGCTCCGCTCGGGTTCGTCCCTAACGTGGGACACCCTTATCACTTAGGGGTATGGAAAATAGATAGTAGCCGATTCTCAGACCTACTGAATACGCATATAAAATTTGGTAAAAATCGGTAAGGCCGTTTCGGAGGAGTACGGTAACTAACATTGTGACGTGGAAATTTTATATATTAGATATATATAGTTAATATATATTTTTTATTTTGTATCTTATGTTATGTTTATATTATATTGCAGGCTATTTTCAAGACTTACGACAGTTGTTATGTAAGAAGACACCACCCCTGTATGGCCCTTCACCAAACCCACCTACACCATTATGTGGGGCCTTATTAGACCTTTTAGAAAGACCTCTGCAACTTACTACACATGTTAATGTGCCTGAGTATGAGTAAGTTGAGACTGTATATAAATCATAAAAAATATTAGCCCAGCCAAAAAATTAAATGAATTTTTCGTATTAGAATGAATTAATTACTAGTGACTCATCCTCGCTTAAATCGGGTTTGTCCCTAGCTTGCTTCCCATACAAATTTTCATCCCCATTGTCATCCCCTTAAGGGATGATTTCCGGGATAAAAACTATTTCACTCACTCCTTTTTTCATATCATGAGATTTAAAAAAATCTTATTAATAAATATATTTTCTTCATACAAAAATTGTCCTGACAATAACAAACAAAAAAATATATCCAATTCAGTGCAGTCGATCGCAAGTTATGAGTGTACATACATTTTGGTGATTAATTTTTATTTATATTTGTCGACACATTTGGCTCAGTTTTTAGTGACCCTACTTGCTGTGCCAGTGGTCGCGGGTTCGAGTCCCGCTCGGGGCATTCATTTGTGTGATGAGCATGAATGTTGGTATCCAGTCATGGGTGTTTATATTTATAATATGTATGTATTTACAGATATATAATAATGTGTAGTGTATCAACTATCTGGTATCCATAACACAAGCCTCGTAGCTTACCATGGAACTAGATGGTGCTGTGTGTTAATGTCCCAACATATTTATTTATTTATATAGATTAGCCCATTTCTATAGAAAGTTTATATAAGACCTTTCTGTATAAAATTCCCATAAGATCAATCATTATTTAAAAAAAATCTTTTTAAATACTTTTTTTATATGCCTAAATAAAAATAAACATGGTGAGAAATTGTCATTCCGATTTTTACGCAAGAAGATTCTAATGCTCCTGGGCTATTATGATTTTCTTAGTCTGGATAACCCAAGTGCAAGTGATTAAAAAAAATGTATACTAGCGACTCGCTCTCGTCCCTATTGTACTTTTTAACAGTTAATATAGATTTCTGATAAATGAGATATTTTCTCGCGGGAAAAATCTTAAATGTTGACCCGGATAACCAGCTATCATCATACCAAATTTTATCAAAATCTTTTCCAAAAAACATTTAATGTACAGATTCGACTCTTTTTTTATTTCGATTCGAACTTTTATATGTATAGATTTAATTACATAACATTTGACTTAAATTGTTAAATTACTTAAATAATATTTATTTTTTCAGTGATACAGTAATGACAGAATTTACTTCGTCGTTTCTCTGCAATCCATACCCTGAGCCAGTGGAAATGTACATAATACCTGCAATGACACATAATTCTCATAGAAGTTTTCCATTTTTACCACTCTTGCAGTGTTTGACTGAACATAAGTTTAGTTCAGGAAAGATCTCCAATGATTCATGGCTTTTGCATACCATACTTACATTGGAACCTCCAGGATTTGGTGAGTCAAAACATTTTTTATATAATAATTTTTCATTGAAATGATTAGTATAGTATAGAATATAGATGGTATATTTGTAATATTACAATTTTTTTTGTAATTAATTTGTATGCTTCATGATTACTGCAATTTCGCAGTAACTGCCTTAGATTAGCTTTCCTATTTGCATCCCTTTTTTATATTTTTCTCACGCTTTATTTTTCTTAAAAAATATATTTAAAATGCACATATGTACTTATATGAAGTGGAATTGACTAAACTCAGTACTTAACATAACAAATGTTCTTTAACGCACTCTTCTTTCCTCTCGTGATATTTTTCATTAATAAAAAAAAAAGTGTGTGTGTGTACTTATGTACGCACGTAAGAAGATTTATTTGGTGTAACAGAATAAAAATGGCTAAAGATTTCATTCCGTATGTCACAACTCTCTGTTTGTAAAAGGAATGCAATTAACTTCATCATGTCGCTTTCAGCTAACTTCATCATATCGCTTTTTTGCTGTCGGTGTGCGCGCGCATCGTAAAAATTTTACTCTGATAATATTTTCCAAACGTTCCAAAAGAAGTACATATAACTTTAAAACTCGAACAAATTAGTCAGTATATAGCTTGAAAGGGTTCAATGTGAAGCCAAAAGGACAGGCTTTGTGTGTTATATATTATAGTATGTTAGTCATGATATGGTATGAATAATAAAATTATATGTTATTTCAGCCACTGAGATACAAAAATTGGACAACACAAGGCTGCCACACAACAGAATCGTTCTAGAATATTTAAAAATAATTGCCAATTTGACAGTTAATGTATGTAATAAGCAAATAACATACGACTATGAGGATTCGTTATACAGTAAAGAAACAGCGGCAGATAATGACGATGATAGTGACAGTGAAAATGAACCAAATCCAACATCAGTACGGGAACAAATGTTGTTAACAAAATGTATAGAAATATTAAACGAGCCAGACCGCTGTATCATGGTGACATGTTCTCAGATCACAGAAAGTGACTTGAGCGATGAGTTCCTAGATAGTATGTCAAAGATATGTCACAATCTGTTACTAAGTCATAGGATGGCCTTACACAAGTACAGGTAAGATTAATATGTAAGTTAAATTTTCAATTACCTATAAACGTGTAAGCTCTTTGGAAAACCAAGTAAATCTGATTCATAGTCAGATGTAAAAAATATCAAAGGTCTTCAAAAACCTCAGATATTTTGATATGCGAATTACTTTCAACATGATTTCTATTTGCCTTATGGTGAAGGAATATACCAAGAGGAAATCGGCATGTCTTTGAGAATACAACCAGTTTTCGAAAGAAATGTGAAGTATTCCAACAATACTTCTATAATAGAATATGAAAACAATAAAAATATTTACACAGAAATTCGCATATTGATTTCCAAATAAAATTAAAAAGTTAAGTCTCTAATATTAAACTATTGAGAGTTACTTATGGTGATAGCTTGTAACTTGTACCTAATGTATTGTAAAATTGTTTTCTTTTTCTCTTATGTATTTCTGTTAACTTGCTGTAATTGTGTTGGTGATCCCAAATAAAACATATAAACATGGAGTATCACTTGGGCCATGTCTGGTCTAATTTGATCAAAAAGCCTAGATTGTGTTACTCTACGTCGCATGAGAGAGAAACGAACATACATATACCATACCCCGATTTCAATTTAATGTACATTTCCCAGATTACTATACACATTGGCGTTCAAACCGATATTCCTGCGCGGTCTGTGGCATTGGCTGAGCGGCATGAGCCACCAGTCCTCGTTCGGGGGCTCGGCCACGCCGCTGCTGGCGGCGCTGTCCAAGGGCATGGGCGCGGACGGCTCGGCCATAGGCGTGCAGCGGCTGCTGGCGCCGCTCGCCGTGTTCTGTGCGCTGTTCTCTTTGTTGATCGGCACGTTGCATGATACTGAGTTTTTCAGGGATATTGATGGTGATGAGAAAATGAGTGGTGAGTTTTGTTTGGTATGTTTTGGATTGAATTTTCTAAACTAAAGTCTAAAAAAATATAATTTTTTAATTAAATATTATAATAGAATGTTGAAAGATTTTTTTGAATTGGGATCTCGAAATTTTACCATAGATAAGCGCGTTCAAACAAACAAAGAAAAAAAAACTCAGCCAAAGTAAAAATCAGTTTTATAATATTAGTATGGATTCGACTCACTTTGAGTAATAAGTTGATTTAACCTCAATAACAAGTAGTCACTAAAAAGTAATCTGTAAACTATTTTTATTCTGAGAATCTAGTCTGTTATTACTCCGTAAATAAAACACAAACGAACAAAAATATTTTAGCTGTTCTACATTATTTAAAATCGTCTTTTTTAGTTGCAAGCACTTCAGCTCCCACTCCAAGTGCAGGACGTATCCATGCATTTGACTTCTCAGAGCTTGGAGGTCTCTGTCGTACTCTGAAGCAAGTGTGCTTGGGTTTGGTGGAACTGGCCTATCCTGAATCACGGCCATTCTTCACTGGACAATATAAAGACGCGGTTGGTGGTAATCAGATGGATATATCTGAGAGAAATCAGACACCCGCATGGGCCCATTTGTTTAAAGTAAGTTTGTTTTTTTTTTTAAATATATATTTTATAATTAGTAAATTTAAATAAAAAATTTCAATCATGAATAAATTTATTTAAGGTCAAAATCGATGTATTAGATCTACCTTTCGCTATATAAATAATGTATAAAATTAGATAATTAGTAGAGTACTAGGTACCAATAATGAGCAGGATTTTTGTTAAGATGCTGCGGAAAGATAAGATAATTCAGATTGTGTCAAACCGAAGCTTCAAATACTGTTATGCACCACTTTTATTGGAATACTAGCGACTCTCTTCGCTCGGGTTCGTCCCTACTTACATTTTGACATTTAGTATAGATTTCTCAAAGATGAGATATTTTCCCGCAATAAAGTGTATCCTATATGTTGACCCGGATAACCAGCTATCATCATCCCAAATTTCATCAAAATCTTTCCCGTGGTTTTTCTGTGATGCGGTAACAGACAGACAGACAGAAAAAAATTCTAAAAACTATAAATTTGGCCTCCGTATTGATAATAAAGACTATTTCAAAAAGATTTTCCAAAAAATATTTGAAGTACAGATTCGGCTTAGTTACAATTTTATTATATGTATAGATTGTAGCTGAGCTGTGCCATAAACGAAGTACCACCAAAGTCTATTATCCAAACAGTCGTCTAACGAAGGCTCGTCAATAGTGTGCGGCGAAACGCGATTGAGGCACCCATATCTTCTTTTATATTTGGGAAATTGTGTAGGGTTGACGGGTGTAACTGTTACTTGCCTCGAGATGCTGTAACTTCGAAATTGTTCACTATAAATATAGCTGTTTTTTACAACCCTTTGCATAAGACAGTATTTTGGTTAAAATTTATTGCCATATGCCGATAGCCTATTCCCAGGGTTAAAATAAAAAATAATAATTAAAGAGTGCGTGTATGAATGTGTACACACGCAAGAAGTTAAACTTCTGTAGGTTATCGGTACTCTTTATGAAATTCAATTTATGTTTTAAATAATTAGGATAGTTGAGATATTAAAAAAACGTGTGTGTGTACTTACGTACGCACGTAAGTTAAAAAGAAGTAAGAAGTTATACTTCTCTGGCGTAATAGAACAAAAATAGCTAAAGATTTCATCCCGTATGTCACAACTCTCTGTTTGTAAAAGGAGTGATAAATAATAAAAATAATTAAATAAAGCATATTAGGCATATTACAATCATATATTTATAGAATATCATTCAAGAAAAGAATATAATATTATATATCATTTGTTAGACAATAATAACAGTGACTATGGCAACAAACGTTCGCCTCGTCCGATCACACCTTTCGTATCGCTCTCGTCACGCATTCACCAGCTTACTCCCCAAGTCAAGAAGTTTCACTTAAAAAAAGTAATCGTAACGTGACAATGGCAGGTGTGCACGCAGCTGCTGCGGTCGCTGTACGCGCGCGACGCGCGGCTGCAGTTCTGCGGCGGCGCGGGCGCGTGGACGGCGGCGGGCGCGGGCGTGGGCGGCGCGGGCGCGGAGGCGGCGCTGGCGGCGCGCGGCCCGCGCCCCGCGCGCCCCTACCGCGCCGTGCCCAGGGTGGCGCACACTGATCAGGGTATTTTATTTATTATTATATTTATCTTATTGAAATAATCATATTCTCTCAGATTAACGATATCATTATATATAATTGTATTATATCATTTATTATTTTTTAATTTTTTTTTAATAAATATCTAGCGACTTACCCTCGCTTCGAACGAGTGTGATCTAGATGCCGAAAGTGATCTGTATACATGTTATTTTTTTATTTAAACATTTATAATTATTTCAGATGAAGGACCACCATTAATAATTAAAGAACTACGGACGGTTACAATATTAAGAGAAATCCCATTTGTCGTTCCGTTTTCAACGAGAGTTTTAATATTTCAAGGACTTTTAATGAGGTAATAATACTTTTTAGGTGTACACTTTTTTTTTAAATAATTAATTTCTTTTTCTTGAAAAAAATAAATAAATAATTTGCAGGGAAAAACATGCTCATTGGTATGAAATGAGTAACTTCAACGAAGGTCCATCTATAATTATAAGTGTGCGGCGGACGCATCTATATGAGGATGCTTTTGATAAATTAAGTCCTGATAATGGTAAGAAAGTTTACTTAATTTAAGAAATTAAAACCTCCTATTAGTTTATCAATTTATTTATTTTTTATTATCACCTATTTCATACTCAAGACATTCGCTAAAGTTTTTATGATATATGAAATTTATTTGATTTTATGAAAGATCAATAAAACTTACATTTTTACTAGATATATATTATTATTTTTTTATTTAACAATGGGGTTCAGAAAGTTCAAAGTTATATAAACAACAAAGTTATGTTCAAAGTAATTCTGAACTTCATTTACATCACTACAAATGTTATATTCCTATACACTACAAAGATAGTCTACCTTTTTTTACGCAGTGTGTGTCAATAGACAAAATTCTTGTTTTGGTTGCCATAATGCCATCGTAAGAAACACCTTTCTTGATTGAAAAATTTTTTGGTACAGAATTTGGACCGATAATGTGTAGATTTTTTTTCTTTATGTTTCTTATTATTTTAGAGCCGGATCTCAAACTAAAGCTGCGGGTACAATTAATTAACCAAGCGGGCGCGGAAGAGCCCGGCGTTGATGGAGGTGGTCTTTTTAGAGAATTTCTTTCAGAATTACTAAAGTAAGTATATGCTGTACAATATGTAAATATATATTTGTATTTGTAACTGCCTCGGTGGTGTAGGGCTAGCGTGTACGGCTGCACATTCGGAGGTACTGGGTTCGAGTCGCCAATTTAGTTATTGAGCCTTTCTGTTAAGAAAGTCGCAATACCAGTCCGGAGTTGGGAAGTTGACGGTGTATCACCCCCGTGCCTCGGAGATCACGTAAACGATCTTTGATCTCTCCATGGTCATATTGAATTATCGTTCCATTGGAATTTTAGAGTAAAAGAAATAGAGAGTGCAATTGTGCCTACGCGTACACTTGTGCACTATAATATAACATCTCCTGCGCATCTAGCAGCTGGCTGGTCTCAGTGAGATTGGCCGCCGTGGTCGGTCGGGAGCACATCATCATAATATATTTGTTTTTTTTTTTCAATTCATATATTTTAATTAGGTAACCATTTAGAAAGGTGTGATCTTAGATTATCTTGAGTGGTTTTATTGGACAGTAGATGATTATGATGATGAGTTCTGGATGGATCCTACTACAATTCTCTATTTGGTTATATTAATATTTGTTAAAAATAAATATCTTCCGACATTAACATAGCACCGTCTAGCTCCATGGTAAGCTACCAGGCTTATGTTATGGATAAGAGATAGTTGATACGCTACACATATATAACTTTAAATACATTAATGTTATAAATATAAACACCAATGACTAGAGTAAAAACATTCGTGCTAATCACACAAATTAATATCCCCAGTAGGACTGGAATCCGCGACTGCTCGCACAGAAAGTAATCTCACCACAAACTGAGCCAAACCTGTTGTCGTTATGTAACAAATATCTGTATTATATGTTGTTTGTTCCAATATATTAAACAAAATAAAATTATCTACATATCTAAGGAGAAAGTTTTTAACAAATAAAACAAGTGATTATTTTTTTACTTTTTGTTCGCAGATCTGCTTTTGATCCTAACCGGGGTTTATTTAGATTAACGAAGGATAACATGTTATACCCTAACCCTGGTGTACATTTACTGTATGACGATTTCCCCATGCATTACTATTTTGTTGGCAGAATGCTAGGAAAGGTAAGATTACCAGATAATAATAGCTAGTTTTATTAACACGTTAAAAAAAATAAGATCTATACCTTTTGGTTCTTCAAACCGAATAGTTATAAATATCACTATTTAATGTTTTATGTGATATTTATGTGGATATTTACCATATAAATAAATCTATTGCTTCGGACTTTCTCGTGATTTTATTTTGATTTTTCATTATTGAAATGAAATAAAATTTTATTGAAATATACTTATTACAAGCACTTTTGAACCGTCAATTTAAAGAGCGTCAGTGTAATTTGTATTGTAATTTGTAGCGTATTGTTAAGAATCCCAAAGGTCAGATATCAAAATAAGATATCTGCTGTGACCATGATTGCTGTAAAGCATTTGAAACGTCGGGAACCAAAAATCAAAATATATCCGCGAAAAAATCCGAAAAGATTGTTTTATTTAAAATGTCAAATATTCGCGTAAATCTAAGAAAGTATTAATTAATTGATTAATTAATTCTAGGCGCTTTACGAAAACCTGCTAGTAGAGCTACCGCTAGCGGAGTTCTTCCTTGCCAAGCTGTGCTCGACGCGCGAGCCGGACGTGCACGCGCTGGCATCGCTGGACCCCGGCCTGTACCGCGGCCTGCTGCTGCTGAAAGCGCACCGCCGCGAGGACGTGCCCGACCTCGGCCTGGACTTCACCATCGTCAGCGACGAGCTCGGCGAACAGCGGGTGAGATTTGTTTTAGTGGTGTACGGAACATCATACAATAGGTAAAATAATATATAATAAAATTATATCCAACCCGCATTTGGCCAGCGTGGTGGATTATGGCCTGATTCCCCTCGTATTGAAAGGAGGCCCCTGCCCAGCAGTTGGACGTTAAAAAGGGCTAAATGAATACAAGTCAATTACCTTACACGTGTTATGTTTCAGCACACATGCAATTCTCCGATATATATAAATTGTTATTTTATCGCTTTAATTTTCAGTGTGTTTTTGGTTAATAAATCAAAACTATCACTCGTTGGGGTTTGTTTCGTACTTAACGTTTCCCTCCTAATCTCTATAAACTGTAAAACAATACAGTTTTTTTGGTCCTTCGAGCCGGATTACTTAACTCTCGTCGACGTTCGGGTGTTACATTAGGTATGATAGATATGGTTAGCTGCATAATACTTTGTTAGATTGACGTGAATATTTGACATTTTAAAAAAGAAAAAAGAAAAGAGACTGGCTTTCCATGCTGCTGTAATGTAGTCGAAACGTCTCGAACCAAAACTCAAAATAAATTTGCGAAAAAATCCGAAAAGACAGTTTTATTTAAAATAATGACTAGTCCCGTGGTTTTAAATTCATCCCTTTTTAACTGCATATATTTAACTAATTCAAATTTAACTTTGTGTTCTTTTAATTATTTTTTATATATTTTTTATTCAATGTAAATACATCGAATAAAATATGATTATATTTTATTAATAATTTTATTTTTAATAATATATGTAACATAAGGCAATGTAATTTTTTTCCAGATAGAAGAGTTAAAACCGGGAGGTGCCAATATTCCTGTTACGGCTGAAAATAGAATAGAGTATATCCATTTAGTAGCTGATTATAAACTTAATAGGTAAATGAATTATTTGTTTACAAATGTCAAATATGTACATACTTTATAACTTATACAATGGAGTCAACTATATAAGAAATAAATACAATTTATAATCATTAACCTGGCTGTTACATATAACTAGTTCCTACGTTGGAGATCACTACTTTGAATCCCGTACAGAATGAAAAAGCTCGGTATTACATAGCAATGTATATGTATATGTGATAATACTTATAGCTTTAACACACCCAGTTGTTAAAATACTTTATGGAAACCTGTGAAGATTATTTAGGCACATAGGAAACTTAAAACAATGTTATATTGATACATATAATATTTAGCCATTTTAATGATCTGCTTTAATGCACCACACTGTCTAAGTCCGTATTGCCAGACTTCACATATCTTACGAAAACTAGGTTATCCCAAACAAGCAGGTTTTATTGTAAGTGCCTTATCCATAGCCACCCAGCCACTGCCTTTATAAACATAAAAAAAAATTACAATATTTTATAATTGTATATTTTATTCCGAAAGAGAAAGTTTGTATGTGTATGTATGTTTGTTACTCTCTATAATGGCTAGATAGATTTCAATGGTATTTAGTACACAGATTATGTGTAGTAACAGTGGAGTAGCACAGCTATAAACTTTATTGATAGAGAAGTTGCATGTTTTTTTTGAAGCTTACAGAAAATTGTTAATTTTTTTTTAACAATTGATTTTTTTTACTTTAATTTTAAATGCCAGTGACGTCATTATATCGCTTTAGTAACGCCACCGCATGGTGAAATGATAAAACATATGATTACTTTGTCAAAATCGAAAAAGTTGTCATTGCATAATACAGGTTATATCTTTATATATATAATTCTTCTGTGAGTGTGTATGTCACTGAACTTCTCTCAAACGACTGGACCGATTTTGATGAAATTTTTTGTGTGTGTTCAAGGGGATCTGGGAATGGTTTAGATTCACAATTTGAATAATAATTTTCATCAAAAAAATTATTAAAAAAAGTTTGAAATTTTCAAATTAAAGACGTGTAGACAGGACAACGTCTGTCGGGTCCGCTAGTTTCTATTGAAATTATTTAATTGACGTTTGACTATTTTGTTATGACACATGCTGTATCGAATATAGAAAATAGAAAAGTACGGACTCAATGGATATAATGACGTCACAACCAATCATAAGTCGTTTAATTTCGTTTAAAAATTAACAATTTTTTATTAATAATTACTAAAAAAATGGAATTTATAATTACAAAAAAAAATATTGAAATGTATTTTAAATGTATTATTCTTTCATTTGTATATAAATTTGTGGCAAAAAAAGTGCAACTTCTCTATTATGTATATTTTGTATCCACAGACAAATAAGATCCCAATGCATAGCGTTCAAGCGTGGGCTGACGTCGGTGGTGAGCGCGGAGTGGCTGCGCATGTTCTCGTGCCGCGAGCTGCAGCTGCTGGTGTCGGGCGCGGAGGTGCCCGTCGACCTCGACGACCTGCGGCGGCACACGCAGTATGGCGGTCTGTAACATATTGGCTTTTTATTCAAGTTATACTTCTTTTGGCACGTTTGGAAAAATATGAGAGTAAAATTTTTATAATGCGCGCGCACACCGACAGCCTTTTGGCTGTCGCTTTTTAGCGACACGATGAAGTTAGCTGCATTCCTTTTACATACAGAGAGTTGTGACATACGGGATGAAATCTTTAGCTTTTTTGTTCTGTTACGCCAAAAAAGTATAACTGCATAAATGCGTACATACAGATTTTTTTGTATGTTGTTATATTACTAGCCAATCACCCTCGCTTCGCTCGTATTCGTCCTTAGGTGATTCTTTAAATTGATATAACTTTTTAAGCTATTGCATAGCTTCTATCGCGGGCCTTGAGCGTGGGGACCGAATCCAGAAATTCCGTAACGAAAAAAACCTGACACCCCCCACTCAGATTTGACATCTGACGTTTCTGACGATCTGACATTTGACATCTGTTTCGGTAAGAAGTAACACATTTGCTTGCCTCGTAACTGAATCTTGTAAATCGTATTTGTGACTATTTAGACTTTGGCAGTTGAAAGTAATTATTGAAATGCCATTTCTATTACTAATGAAATCTAATACACTTTGAGCTATCGTCTGAACACTATTTAGAGACAGTCTTTTGAATTCTTGCAACAAAGATGCAGTCGATGCAGCTTGCTTTCGAAAATATTGAATTTGAAAATGAATAATGATCCACAAGAATCTACAACAAAATATGGAACCACCATTGACGCGGTATTTTCCAGATATTTAGAAGATATCAAGTCTCAAACTTATGTTTCTTATTTCAGTTACCATAAACCTATAGTTTCAATGATAAATATTCCTGAAGAACCGACATGTATTGAAAGATAATAAAAATATTTTGAACAATATTAACATCTCATTTATTTAATAAAAGAAAAAAAATGTTTTTTTATCGGTCACCACGCTCAAAGCGTAACTTGAATTAATATCAAAGAAAAAAAAACAAAGGAAAAAAATACTGCATTAATAAAATAAATAAATAATTATAATTGCATAAGTTGATAAAAAATGCTATGCAATAGCTTTAGCGCGGCAGTCTCCGAGTGCCACACGTCTTTTTTTATTTATGAACCGATTGAAATAAAACAAATTGTTAGTGAAACCGCACCAAATTCGTTAAGCAATATCTAAGATTAGCGCACACACAACGCACAGAGAAACAGACAAAAATTCTAAAAATCATTGTTTTGGGTTCTATTGCGTTAATAAAGAGTAACCCAGTAACAAGTTTTCGCAAATATCTTCCTTCCTTCCTTCTTTTTTAAGAAATTTGCAGTGGTTTTGAGGAGTTGGAATGGTTCGATTTTAGCATTAGCGTACTGTTACTGCGCGTAACTCACTGTGGGTGTCAAATTGCTGTCCTATCAAGCTTTGAGAGGTGAAAAATGAAAAACTCCTTTTTGTATTTCGAATATGAACTATGAAGTTTTTAACAAAAACAAATAATAAACATAACCTATAAAAAACCTTTTTTGTAAATTAAAAAAATAATTAAGATAAATAAATATTATTAAGATTATTAGTAAAATTAAAAAGTAGGTTCAATTACATATTTACTATTGGAGTAAGTGCATCATATAAATATACATATGTATTTCTTACAGGAGGTTTCTCGGACACCCACCCTGTGGTGCAGAGTTTCTGGAAGGTGGTAGAAAACTTCTCAGACGCGCAACGTCGACAGCTGCTCAAGTTCGTCACTAGTTGTTCCAGACCACCCTTACTGGGCTTTAAGGTAATATAATTATGAAAGTATGCTCAAAGCTTAAACAAAGTTCAAAATACACACTTTTGATTTACTGTATAGTTGTGAAAATTAAATCACCTTAAATTAGGAAGATTTTTCTAGTATCCATTGAAGAATTCTACTATCCATTCCTAGGTTCAATATCAGGTTAGGTCGATGGAATCAAATCATGATTTTACATATTTTTCATGTCCGCCAACCCGCACTCGGCCAGCGTGGCGGACTGTGGCCTTATCCTCGTATTGAAGATAGGGACTTGCCCAGCAGTGGGACTTTAAAAAGGGCTAAATACAATGTGATAAACCAAGTTGTCTGACCACCAGGACCTGCAGCCGCCATTCTGCATCCAGTCGGTGGGCCCGTCGGAGCGGCTGCCGTCCGCCTCCACCTGCATGAACCTGCTGAAGCTGCCGGAGTACCCGCACGAGCGCGTGCTCGTCGAGAAGCTGCTGTACGCGATACAGGCCGGCGCGGGCTTCGAGCTTAGCTAATGAGGTGCCCATTAATTCTAAGCCATTACATTGAAGCCGTTGAAGTTTGTTTATTTCTTTTTAGGCCAATTAAATAAAAGCTTGTTTTTAAGTATATTTTTTTTTAATATTAATTTATTCTATTAATGTTAATTAAATACACATTTTACATAGAGTCAAAAGAAATAATTTATCTATATAATATATAAACCTTAGATATAAAGCTTTCTTTTTAAAATAGAACCTCGAGGTCGTTTGAACAAATAAGCATATTAGCGGCTTAATATTAACTATATTATACAACTCTATTACTTACACAAAGTCGCGCATAAATATCACTCTCAAAACGCAGTACCGTAGTATTTTCATGCTTAAGGAAAGAGGGAGTGAAGATATTTTTTTGGAAGATATCCCCAATGCTCAACCCCGGAATCGAACCTAGAATTCCCAGATCTACATTTGTATAACCTTGACCAACGAAGAGGTTGCAAATGACCATTAATCGGACAAAGATGTCCATTAAACAACTTCTATGCAACACGAAAGTGGAAAGTTATGGACTTTGAATATATTCAATAAATAACTTTACTTCTTGTTCCTATGAAAGACGTGATAAAAATACCTTTAAAAAGAAGTAGGTTCGTATTCTACTCATTAGTGAACTCGCTTGGCACTTCTTAGAATATTAATGAAATTATTGCAACATGCTTACTAATGAAAATTTATAATACACTCGCGGCTTCGCCCGCGCTTAAACTTCCGATATAAACATCAGTTTTACAAAAATGTTTGGAAGTCTGTCCATATGTTGACATTAACGATTACTGCTCCGTTCCCTTGGGTAGTAGCATGATGATATATAGCCTATAGCCTTCCTCAGTAAACGGGTTATCTAATGCAAACAAAAAAAAATCAAATCTGATTAATAGTTCCTGAGATTAGCGTGTTCAAACAAACAAACTCTGTCTTTTTGGTAGTATTAAATAGATGTACAATGGCGAAATAGTTTTTGTATATATGTATCTAGTAATATAGAGATATTAACTCCGGCTCGTGATTTCATTAACACAGTAAAGTTTAACTCGTTACTGCCCATATGTAATATTTTAAGTAATACAAAAATTGAACCCGTTGACCTCCGTCGAAGTAGGCAGAGCCAATCATACCTTTTCATTGTTTCACGACGATTTCAATATATAGAACTTCTAAGTTACCTAAGTTAATGTTATTATTCCACTTCAATAGCTTTAATGTTTTGAATACTAAATGAAAAATTAATTAGCTAGGCACGCCTATTGAACTCACGACGTCGTTTCTGAATATATAGGCGGGTTCTGGGTAACAGGTATTTGTGTCCCCGTAATTAATATTAACACGCTTTCTGTTACTTAGTGGCTATTACAATATGTCTCACTAGTGATTTAACTTGGGTTCGTACGGGTGCGTCCCAAAAGGGCTTTTGTATTTATATTATTATATGCAAGTAAAGCAACCTTTTGATTTGAAAAGTATTATTAAGAGTAGTTTATGTGTTACTCCAGGTATATAGTTTATGTTTGTATGTATTCAGCCCTTTTTAACGTCCCACTGTTGGGCACGGGTCTCCCTTCAATACGAGTGGGATCAGGCTATAGTCCACCACGCTGGTCAAGTGCGGGTTGGCGGACTTCACATGTCTTTCGATAACTTTTTAGGTTATCTCAGACATGCAGGTTTACTCACGATGTTTTCCTTCACCGTAAGACAAGTGGTAATCATGTTGAAAATGATTCGCACATGAAAATATCAGAGGTGTCAGACACGGGATTTGAACCCCCTTCACTTAATTTTCCGAGCGAGCTCGTCACTATTGGTCTACCACTGCCTCATTTATCATCATTTAATTTTATAAGTTTAAAATATTTCATCCTCAGAATCGTTGGTTTGATTTGAAATTATTAAGGTTAGTTTTTACTAAACTCAATAATTAAACTATTTTTTTTTGTTTTCAGGTTATCAATGATGAAGACTAGTATTCCAACTTTTATATACTGAAATATTATTTTTCATGTTCATATACTATTTATACCAATCGTTAATCTCAATGTGATAAAATAAGGTCATAGTAGTTTATTGTAAATAAATGATACCTTCCTTTGATTCCTCTACTTTATTTATTTTTGGAGACCAATTTTTCTCATAAGAGCAAAATTTACAAATACTTGTTATTGTTATGCAATACTCGATTTTAGGTTCAATGAGTTTTAAGGTTTGTAATATAGTGAAAGTGAAAGTTTTCTACGATAGCGAAACCTGTCTCGCAAAATTATTCAGAATGCATAACTTCTACGGTGAAGGGTAATTTTTGTTTTATCAACAATTTTAGTAGAACAATTATTATTGTACGTCGTATAAAATAATAAGATAGACAGATGGTGTAAAATAAAAGTAATGAAACAACACCGATTGTGGTTTTGGACACTTTGAAGAGGTAAAGTGGCGAAGAGAGTATTTAAGCATATAAAATAGAATATGAATTAAGACGTCAACTAGTGTATTCTACATGCTCTGTTTATCTTATTGTTTTAGTTTGAAAATTATACATAATGTTAAACGTTAATTCAATTATGAGTAAGCATCATATATACTTCAGTAATTTGGAGTCGGGAAGTGTTTGCGTTGAATATCAATCAATGTATGTGTACATAATATAAATGTAGGTGACCCGATTTTATGAGGCTTTCGGATCTGACAAATTAGGTAGTATGAAAATATTTTAATTTTAAACATTCGTGGATGGGTATGTTGTTTCATAATAGGAAGCTTTAGTGTTCATTTGAATAGAAGACATTCATTTTAAAAATTGAAAGTGTCAAATAAAGTTTTAAACCTTTTCAATTTTGTATTTTTTTTTACCGCTCGTATTATAAAAAAATACCATTCAATTTCATAGAATGGTAGGTATATGAAAAATATGTTATGTCGAAGTATCTTTCTATTCAGGGCAGACTGACGCGTATCCATTGCATAATGTAAACGATCATTAGATTTTCAAAGGTATTGATCTAAACTTTAATAAATAACACGTCTAATAAGTAACCGTGAACTTGTCTGCGAAGCTCATCAATAACGTGCATTAATATTGGCTTAGGACTTAGTTGCATTCACGGTTTCAAATATGGCCGCCATCGCCGCCATTCGCCGCCATTACGGTTTTGACAGTTGCAATCAATCAGCGTTGATGAATGAGGTACGCGGTCTATGTGCGGCACTTCCAAGTTCCAATATACAGTAGTCGACGTATCATGTACGCATTCTCAGTCGGATCCAGCTATCTTGCTGGTAATCGAACGGACAATATTGGCATTTATATGTATTTTAATATAGTTATATATTTTAAAAAACACATATATGGACAAATATTTTTGGGCAAAGTTGCTGTTTATGCTACCGAAAGGTTGATATGTGACCTTATTACTAAACTTTTGTTGTTTGTTTAGCCGTCCGTATGGTTTTAGAAGTAACTTTTATTTGAACATTGTTATAAGTTATTATGGCTGATGGCCTTTACAAATAATATACCAATGGTAATTTAAAAAGAATAAGTGGGATGATGAATATTAAAAACGAGTTTTTAATTTAATATATCTTTTTTGTTTTTGCTATATTGTAAAATTTTATTACAAATGCGCTAGTTTAGCTCACGATTAACCAATTTTTTGACTGCCTTAGACTGTGTAGCTATAATATGGAATTGATTTCAATTGTTTAAAGATTAAAAGCGTACTTTTTCTACTAAAAGAAAAGATTCTCCGAATCTTTGCTGTTATCAAGGATTTTTAAGATTTCATTGCTGATTAATTAAGACTTCGATATTTAACCGAACGGTCGAGACTGCTTACGATCCTTTGCCATTTAGACTTATTCTTTTATTTTTATATCGTACAAAGTATTATGCAGTGTCTGTTCTTTATATTTTTGGCTATTTAAGCGTGATATATTGAATGATATAATAATTTAGTAGAAGTTTTTTTTTTAATATTTTATTTTACATGACGAAGGTAGACACTGTCAGATTACTGTATGACTCATAGCAGGCCACAGCGCTCGTGCAGTCGATTCAATTCTGTACCAATGAAAGGATTAAACGATCGCCTGTCAGCCGCAATGTGAATCAAATGGTTCCATCATAATAAGTACTAATAAAGTTCAGGTTAAAAGTAAGGCAAGTGAATGATAACCTTCGCAATGATTGAATACAGTCCTTAGAGAGAATTGATTTATTGAGACTTTTGTTTTTTTATCGAAGCTTTATAATGTTTCTTTTATGTATAGAGAGTTTTAAATCTTTACATTATAATAATCATGTAGAGTTTAGTGTTATTATACTAATTTCACTACCTTATAGTTTGTTTATTCTATGTGAAATCGGTAAGTCAATTATTATTGAGAATCAGCTGACGCGGTTAGAATTCGTTACCTGGTATCAATAGAAACATATCAAAACCGATGGGATTTTGTTGATATACAGAAATTTATTATATGTCTTTCTGAAAATAAGAATTAGTTTATATATGTAGTAGGTATATTACCTAAACACTACGCGCCAAATATGTCACTTGAAAGGGAAATATTATTAAGACATTAAATTTATAATTTTATACTTTCTTAAAATCTCAATTGCTCAGTTTAAAAAATAATTAGGTATGAAAATGTACGAAAACACGTATTTGTTTATGTAATTCTAAAAAGATTGGTACCCATATAGTGTTTTAATCATTTTACATTTATTAATTTTTTTTTAGGTATATAAGACTAAAAATTTAAATGTTATAATGAATGGAACTCTCGTTAATACGAGTTCGAGTCGCACTTGACCAGTTTTTAATGGCCACACAGCCCCAATAATTAAAATTAAATATTTATTGCCATTTTTTAACGCTATGTTACAAATAGAAATCGACTTATGTGTCCTATTTTTTTGCGACACTGCTGAACTAATAAGTAATAATATTTTAAATAGTCTCATTAGGGTAAAA